CGTAGGCCGGTGGTCCATTTGCAAGCACTAGCAAATTTTCACGAGAAACCGCTGTAGACCGATGAAGCCCAGGGCAACAGACCTCGAAGTAAAAAATGCACACTGAAAGTATTTAAACACATAGATCATAAAACCTTTTTTTCTATGTAGTTTGGAAATGCAAATTGTCAAAAAAAAGAAGGAATTTCTCTTTCGAAGGAAAATTTCGATGAATAATTTAATGAGACTTTATTATTTATTTAGTATATGAAGAAAGAATTCGAGAAACGGTTTGTTGATCATAATTAATGAACAAGAAAATTGTTTAGAACTATAAAAGCTAAAAATGGTGTATGAGTATTGGGTCTTGTTTAAATGTACGCGTTCAAGTTTAAATTAAAATTTTCAAATCTGTGTTTACAAAGTGCAAGGCTGTCTTTGTAACCACGGATTTGAAGAATTTAATATAAACTTGTTCCGCGCAAAACGTACGTGAAATCTCTAGATATTAACCCCCTTCCCCGTCACGCATTTTAACGCAAATACCATTTCTTATTTCTAACAAAATCACGCATATACCGTTTATCCGCAATCACGCATATTCACGCACTTTAAAAATCTCATTTAATCTTCAATTTATGGCCAAATTCCTTCTATTTTATACTTTCTTAAATCTAATAAAATAAGAAAAGTTATTTCATTATTATAATATCACTTCATAATATTATTTACGCTTAACTTTAGAGAAACATTTACACCGCAATGAAGTGCTTGCGGAGAAATGGTAACGTCATACCGGTATTTCTACGACGTGAACATTAAGTATATGTTGCGTCACATATATCAGTAAGTTGTAAATCTTTCTTTTTCTTTTTTTTTTATTTTCAATCAAAACATTCTCTATAAACCATGTAACTAGAACATGAGGTGCATAATCAATTTCTTATTTGATTTTTTTCTCAAGAAAAGTAAACCAATGATTTTGAATTATATATTTTTATTGATATGCTAGCATCCTCAATTATTAGCAAATTCAAGGTCAAACTAAAAATTAATCCCAAAGCTCAAATTCACCCGTGTGCAGTATTACATGTATGCAAAATTTACACCTGATGAGTAAATCAGTGCATGAGAAAGGGGCTTCTGAAAAAATTAAAAGAAGGGATCACAGACACTTCCTACGTTCCCGCTGTGAACTTAAAATTAGGCCGGTTAATAAATAAAACATCGATCGCTCGACCGCAATTTTTAACTCAATAGTCAATTGCAAAATTTCCTCCTTTCTGTTTTTACAGCTCGCATATGTCCTGCATATTGTCAACGATCAGCCGACAAAATCTGTCAATAATTTCTACTTGGCTTTATAAAAATATTTATCCCGTTGCTAGCACGCCTTTTTATAACTACTGGTTTATCCCGGAACTTTAACTAAGAGAAGATAACTCTAATTCACCTGCCGATTTTTTTTTCCACCTTGACGGACGGCTTTTGATAAATGTGCAGTCGGATTATCCAACTCAGCCGTTAGGATTAAGTTTAAATCTCTGTCCACTTTATGCGGGTCTAATTGACTTGGATTAATGAGTTTTTAGGTAGGTCGAATTAAAATTAAATCTTATTTTGTCTTAAGTTGAGAAATTAATTTTACTGTGAATTTTCTGACATGCACTAATGGTGTACAGTAAAGCACTTTCATTCAATATAGAAGTGAAGTCTATATCTATATCGTTTAAAGTGCCATGAACTTTCCAATGTTGATTCTGATAAAACGGGATACTTACGTAAATTGAGCAATTGACATTGCATTGGATAATAAATACTTTTAGTTTGAAGTTTAAGCTCCCAGGAATTTTCTTGCACCCTTTCCTGATATTGACCTCTTCATTTCAAAACACGACCTTGTTATTTCATAAATGACATGATTACTAGTATAGAAAAAAATCATGTATATGTGTACCCGTACTTATAAAACATAAAAAATAATCAATATATAGCAGGGGTTACTGATCTAAAGATTTGTTTAACTTCTTAAATGGCGTGATGTTTATCCGAATGTTAGATAACTTCATCAGGTCGACGGAAAACAAGACCTTTAAATCCAATCAGAGATTGTATCTTTGAATTTTTTGCGTCGTATATTAGGATGTTTTTAAAGTATGACACACAACCTTTATCAATTCCACTAGGAACATCCAATGAGAATCAAAATTGGTATATTTAAGAGTATATATGTAACGTATTATATATTGACAATATGTCTTAAAGCTTGGAGTAATTTGTAGACCCGGGGGGGGGGGGGGGCAGCCGGTTTATACAAATTTACTTTTTAAAAATTCTTAGAATTTACGCCATGACTGTGTTCTCTCTTTTTTTCAAACTTGAGATTTCTTTGAAAATCATTTCAAAATGCCAAAATTTTAATCGATATTTAAGTAAACCTTGAATGTCTTTTCAATATAAAGGTATTAATGATTAAAGACCGTGTTTTTGCTATAGAATTCTCTCATAATATTTTTTATTTTGTTTAAAAGGACATATGAAAGATCACAAAGAATTTGGACGACTTTCCATTGTGGAAAGTCGCTGGGTCGTGCATTTTGACCCCTGTGACCCAGATCTGTTATGGTGTTCTGTGTATCGATTATAGATCACCAATAAAACACGCAGTGTCTGAATTTGTTTGATTTTGCTGGGTAGAATTTTTATAGAAACCTCTTTCTTTAAGGCCATTGAATAATAATACGAGGGATTTAATGACATGCCTATACAAACGTGTTGATGGAAGCGCCGAGAAATTCAAAGTTTGGTGTGTTTCATCTGAAGAAGTCCTTTTGAAAAATAATATTATAGTAATAATTCAAATGATTCATTTTAAAACACCTTAATTTTGATAAATGTAGAAAAAGAGAACCTGCATTATTTTGGATATATAAAGAAACAGTTTTGCCAAGTCGACTTTATATCCATGCAAACGCATCTTTCCTATATTGAGTCTATAAAGGAGCTCGAAATTCGAGCTTGATTTATAATATGCCAAATATAATTTAAATATTTTCAATATTAATGAGTAAGTATAGAATAAACAGTTTTATATTTAAATATTTTAGTTCCCATTTATTAATGTTTAGAAGGAGAAAATGTATTTGAAAAAAATCAATTTATTATTTTTTTTTAAAACAAATATTATTTTTTTTAAATGTTGTGAAACTTTTTTTTTTCAATTTATAGTATAAGAAGCTTCAATTTTATAAGTTTACGGTGAAAATTGAAGGCATATCATCTTATGAAATTCTTTCTGTATCATAAGAATATTTAGATCTAAATACAATCTTACCACGATCAAATGAGTGTTCTTTATCTCAGGTTTCACGTAGGAATAGTTTACGTTTGACAATACTGATCTTCCTCATTTACTTCTACATATGTGCAGCCTATTTCTCTCTCTCTCTCTCTCTCTCTCTCTCTCTCTCTCTCTCTCTCTCGCAGAAAAACACAAGTGTGTAAGTATCTTGTATCCAAATAGGTTAAAAGGAGAGATCAAATAGCTTGGTCTGTTTTGGTGATCAGCAATACACACAGAGACGAAAAACGATTTTCTATATGTTAAAAAGTAAAAGATCATTACCGATACACACTCTCTACGTGTTTAAAAACTAGCACGGTTCAAAACGCATTAAGCGATTATCTAAGTCTAGCATTGTATGAAAACGGCCATAGGAGTACGTAATTGGGTGTATTTATTTCTAACAATAGTCGGAAACAGATTTCGATTCTCGAGTGTAAATAATGTATTGGTGAAAAATTGGAATAATATATTTCTAGTCAAAATTGAGAATCGATTAAATATACCAACAAAATGCCGATCAAGGAGGTAAGATCTCATTGTTTTCTTTTGAAAGTATCTCATTTAATTAATTTTTGAATTTCGATTTACAAATCGATTTCAGGTGTATTTCACAATCAATGAAACTATTGATCTTTCCTCTCGTATGGCGGGTTTTACTTGTTAACATGTATATAATAATCACTGTCGAGTTCAGAATTTATTACATAGTCTGACAAATTAAAAAAAAATCCAACATTTTGGATTTCGCTAGATATTCATGTTTAAGGAAAAGCAAGAATAATTTTAAGACTTACTGAAATCGTTATTATTTTCATGATTTGGTCGTTTTATTTTCTTCTTTTTGCTTTGTATCTTTTCAATTCAATCCATTTACAATAGGACACTGTATAAAATTATATGTAATAATCATACTTACTCTTAAATATGATGAATTAGTAACTATATAAATTTCCAAATATCTAAGTGGCAATTATTGTAGGAATTGTAGTTTGGTAATAGCTACGTGTATGGGGATTAAGGAGTTGAATGGGCGGTGGAGTTGAAGAGACAATCGGTGCATGTACTCTAATAGAAAGACGTGCAGACGTGCAGATTACATGTAACAACTGTTTGGTGCTAGCTTTTTTTTGTTATAAATTACATTTTTCCCCAAGGAAAGGCCTTGTCAAAATGAATATACATGAACCTGTGAAAATGAAAACTCTAGCACATAACGTTCAAAAGTGATGAGGTCCAAGGTCCCAAAGTGGGTCAAACTTCAAGGTCAAGGACAAGGGATTCAAATAGATTTATGATGATACCCAACGAAAGGGTTCTTTCCAAAGAATATACACTGTAAAATATTGAAGGTCGTAGATCTATCCAGTAAAAAGTGATGAGCAAGGTTTAAGTTTTTGTGTATACAAGTAAACAGACAAACAAACAAGCCTTACACGAAGAAAATGAATTAACTCTGATTACGGCGTGGACATAAGAATATACATATTCATTTTTTGAAAATTATCTGATATTAACATACAGTTTTAGGAATTATATAGATACTAGCACCTTCAGATTATCTTTGAAATAATGTTTATTTGCCCTCTCTCTACACATGGTAAAATTATTTGGTCGGTGACTAAGTGAGCTAATCATTTTTCCAAATAAATGTCATCATATTTGTTGACAGAAAAAGAGGAATAAATCGTGACCTGTAATGTAAAATTTTTTGAGTCGGTCAATTTTTACTCAGTTGATCGGGAGTGGGCAATAAATTAAACAATTTTTAAAGATGAACTTAAGTTTAAAAGTATTTATCTAAAGTTTATGAAATGACAAAGTTTCTTTATCTTTTGCAGACTTGGACCAGCATTATGCCGACGGCATTCAAAAAACAGAAATACTCCTCAATACGGAGTGAGTGTCTAAGTAAAGGAATCTTATTTGAGGATCCCGAATTTCCGGCAAATAACAAATCCATATTTTACTCCAAAATAGACCAAGAAATAGAATGGAAACGACCAAAGGTAAAACTTAGTTTACGTATTGATAATTCATTTATATCGTTTCCCCAAAATGATTCAAATGCATCGTTCATCCATGTAATTAAGAAAAAGGACAAATCTCTCTTATTTAAATCCATGGACAAAGAATAGAAGCACATACAGTGGAGTCTTATTTATCTCATTTATCCGGACACTTTGGTTCCCAGTCAATTTGTCCGGATATGTGAAGCGGTGAAGCGTCCGGATATCTTAATTTCCATTTAAACAAGACAAAACTAGAGGTACTGTGAGCAATGAGCTCACTAAATGATACCCCCCGCCTCCCATAATGTCGATGTGTTGCTATATATATTGTTTTACGGTAATAACTCGTCCTATCAAATGTTATCCAGAAGCTTCTATTATGTGACGTCATAGGTAAACAAAAAATGGCAATGTCCATGTTTTGCTCTGGGAAACCTAAAATACGTGTCGAATTAAAAAGTAAAATAGGAGGTGCACAATGGCAATATGTAATAAAGTTTCTGTGAAAGTTTCATTAAATTTCACTCAGTAGTATAAGAGGAGTTGCGGATAAGAGAAAAAGCGTAACAGACGGACGGACGGACGTACAGACGGACAGACGGACAGACAGACGGACGGACGGAATTAACGATTACTATATACCCTCCCGCTTTTCAAGCGGGGGGTATAATAACGTTAAAAAATTCCGTTCCGATGAAAAATCTTCCGGATAATGAATCATACGGATATCTGAAGGTCCACTGTACATGTTCATATAGAAACTAAAATTGATGTATACACAAAAGTCTTCAAGAAATTTTTTTGACGAGAATCCCTTTACTTTAACATTTTAGAAATGTTTCCAAAAAAAGCTACTCTCTCTATTCTCATCTTGAAACATTTAAAAAAATGGATGCATGTCACAAGCTAAAAACTGTATTGGAAAAATGCAATTATTTACAGAACTCTCTAAACATAGTTTTTTTTTTTAATCAATAAAAGACGTCATCGGAAACTCCAATTAAAATAAGGTTAGTTTTAATCTTACATGGCACCAAAATACATTATTTTTCAGCAAATGGTGACCGACTTTTTTTCTTTACAAAAGAGAAAGGAAGTTAAAAATGTAAACTTGTTCCTCGCTATTTATCAACACTCTTATCTCGATTTATTTACCTGTGTTGCATACCATACCGAGATTCATTGATTTCTTTATATGACAACTGTAAATACAAAAGCTAACCTGTAGTTTTATTCAGGTATTATTGAATATGAATTGTGTACTCAGGAAACTGCAATAAAATACAGGTAAATTTAAAAATTAAAATACCATTTACAAATGCCTTTTCTGTTAAATCATATTTTGTGTTTGTAAATATACGCATAAAGTAGAAGTCAGTCGAAAATTGATTCATAATTCATTGATTTTATATCCTGCCGCATGTTTGAAGAATGTAGGAATTTTCGTCAGAGATTTCTAAAGATTTTTGTTTCTGAACAATGAGAAATCGACCAAGTTATCTAAAGAGAAACGAGTTACATGAAAATAAATGCTTGTCGCCATAATTTTTGTGAAACGTTTGGGATACTTATTCATACATGTCTAATTCATGTAATTTCTATGAAAGCTATTTTTGAGGTGGGGTAAAAAAAGAAGCTTTGTTCGATCTTGAATCGCTCAAAATGCATTTATTGAAAGTACCAAGGTTTCACTTTAAAATAAAGAGTGCGAAATCGTAACACCATCCCATTTACTCATGGTCTCTGTCAAAGAAAAGAATATATAATTTAAATCAAGCTTACAAGTGTTATTGATATTTTGTTCAAAGACCATTTATTTTTGTTAACCCCCTCCCCACACCAAAGATGTTCAGCGTTGCAGGAACTCAAGTTCTTTAAAAAGGCTCATGGGCTTGAACCCTTCCCATCCAACCCCCGCATTTTTCATTTTTTAAATTTAATAATATTGAATGTTTGATTTTTTATTCATCTTTTATCTTTCTTTACATTACTTTCAATAAAATATATGTAACTTGTTCGTTCATGTATAATTCATGTAATAGCAGTAAAAGATATGTATGAGGCCAAGAAATGTGCTTTATTCTCACATGATTGAAAATGCTTTTTACAAAGTAAACCGATTTAATATTAAAAGACATTATTAAACATCATTAAAGACATTACATGAACCCTCTCTGGAAAATAGATGAAAAGTTTTAAGATAAGTATGATATATAGATATAAGAATTCTGTACCAATTGCATTGAATGTAGTATAACCTCCTTCCCTATCTATTGTTCCAGGAATGTGTTTACTCTTAAAAGCTGATGGGATTGCACCCCCCCCCCCCTCCCAACCAACCAACCAGTATTTCTTTCAGGCTTTTATTATTATACCCCCCGCTTGAAAAGCGGGAGGGTATATAGTAATCGTTAATTCCGTCCGTCCGTCCGTCCGTCCGTCCGTGTTTACGAGAGTGCATTTATTGGGTATTTTTCATGCCAAGATTGTACTTATTGGGTACTTTTTGCTTATTGGGTATACCCAATAAGAAGTGTCGCTGAATATGCTTAAAACACCCTAATTGGGTATTTGCAGGTTAGTACCCAACAAAACTTGGACACGACGATTTGTCCAAAAAAGTGTCCAAAAAAGTTGCTTTCACGGACGCACCGTGTTTTGTGTTTCAGTTTTACATTCGGAACTCTAAATTCTCGAGAGTTCCGAAAATCAACTTCCGTTGATCCTGATCATAACAACGTTTGTTTTCATGGAAAAAAAATATGGCGACTAAGAAACACTTAATGTCAACAAGATTGTCTGATTGACAAGAGAAAAGGTAAGTTTATTCGATTAATATTTATCTATTGCTGGGTTCTTGTTTAAGGAAAATTGATTTTAATGTAATGTGCACAAAATTAAAATATATATATCGGAACAATTAATCCTAAGTTGCACTTGTATGTATTTTGAATTTTCTCTGTCTTTTTAACTCTCTTGAGGGCGAGAAGTATTTAGTAAATGATCGTATATTGTTAGATAATCTTTAATAAATCGAATGTGTTAATTATTTAATTTTATATCATAACCAACTCAGTATGTTCTGTCAATGTATATTGGAAAGGGAAATGAAAATTTTAACAATCGTGTGTTCATAAATCAGCTGTAAATTATCGGTTCATGTAGACAGTATTACAATCGCAAAGTGAGCTGAGATGATGATAAATGGGATAATTGACAACAACTAAATAATTGTATGTAAGTTTATCTCATCTGATATGTAAGAGATTCATTGTATTACTGAAAAACGTTCAGTCAAAACAGTGCTTCTTTCTGTCTTTGATTTTGAGTGTCTGCTTTATTTTGATTTTTTTAAAATTATTGTTTTTGGCATTTGTTTTAATTAATTTAAAACAATACTGAAAATGATATAGGGCTATTATAACTATTTCACATGATGGGTGTGTAATTAGCATCGCGCTACACCCGGGGCTTCCATTTTTGAGGATGGGGCTAGTGGTTTTCTGCACTGAGGAATCCCCTTGGGCTATTAGGAATTTTAAAATACACATGTAATGCATGAAAAGCACCACCGGTATTTTCACTCCTCTTTGCTATTGAATTCCCTATATGGAAATATTCCAGACAGCATGCTCCTATTATCCATAAATCTCAACAACTGCATCCATTTTGCAGTGCTACCAGACTGATTTACTGAAAAACGATCTTTTTTCTCCTAATTTGAATTTCCCCCCTTTCCTTTGTTTAATATAGCAATATTTGCATGTACATATATGCCTCACAGATATCTCATTATTAAATCATATACATTTACTCAATCAGCTCAATGATATGTGTCATGCAATTATGTTGCGCTTTTTTTATTTAAAGCCATATATGGCGTAACTGATCAAAAAATATATTTTTGAAAAATACAAAATTAAGTAAAGAAATATAGTTAATACATTTAAATTAAAGCTTTTCATACAATTCTGAACACGGAGAACACCTCGTTTCATCTAATAATACGATTTTATCTTCTCTGTAATATGTTATTTAAATCTTTTGTATTTTCTTCCAAGTCGGAGAAAATTTCGAGAATCCAAATTAAATTTTGATATCTTTATAACGCAATTGACTTAGATTTTGTAATTTACGGAAAATTTCTATCTTTATCATGTGTATATAAATTAATTATACAAATAATAAGTTTTTATAATTTCAGTCTAATAATTTTCATTGTACATACGCCATATATGGCTTTAAATGATTCAAGATGAAAACAAAATGATTTTTGCTTCGTTTTAATTAGACGAACTAGTGAATGACCAGAAAAGGAATATTTAAAAATTTTTTTTCATTTTTTTAAAATCATTAATTTATATATGATTAAATCTTACTAGCGAAAATTAAATTAAACTTTAATTTTAAAAAGAATCATCTGTAGTTAATACCCTGACTTTTTTCACGATGAACTTTTTTTCAATGTTACTTTTTAATTTTTGCCTCTATATTTGGGCTTGTCACTTTTTACTCGGGGATAGTAACTTTATTGCCACCAAGCTGTGGATTAGTACTTGATTTCCTTTATTGCACAGCGATGACTATGATTTAATAGCACCAAAAGCTAATGGGTTTACGTATGTGAATTTATATGATTAATGCTTACTTGTGATTTTAGGATAACTGGAGATAATGATTCCTTTATTCCATTGATATTTCATAAATATTTTCCAAAGTATCATGTTACAAGAAATTGGTTTAGATTTTTTTATAAAAGTAATCAATAATTGCAATGGAAATTAAAACCATAATCATGTTCATTGAGGATTTTCAATATGTAACAGGTCAAACAGGAACTTCAATTGTGAACATTGCAGAGAACACACTCATCAGAAGATGACCCTCAGAAATAGGACAATTGTAAGTAATCAGTAAAATGATCAGGAATACTTCATGCCAACCATAAGATTTTTAGAGACATTTTCGCTTCTTAAATTAGAAGAAATAGAGGGAAAAACTTGTACATACTACATAACTACTAGGCAATCAACCTTTAACGGCAGGAAAGCTTTTGGTATGTGCAATACAGCTATATAAAACCTCTTTAGTATTCATGTTGAGTTTGAGAAAGTACCATAGTATTTTTTCTAGTGTTTGCCAACATTTTCATGCACACTGTTTGCTTGTTTGTACTATCATTTTATTTTATATTCTTCAGATGCCCTTTACCTTTGTCAGTTTTGAATCATTTGTTTTAAGGGCATCTGAGGGTTGGTTCCAGAACTTAATTAATTGTAAAGTAAATACCGTGGTACTATTCGGTCATAGGTTATGTTAATACGTGTATAACATTTTGTTCTGATAGAGGTGGCATACAGGAAAAGAAACAATACTAGATATCACTTCAAAGGAATAAAATAGCTTCATCTTGTAGGTGTATTTTATTTAAGGATCACTACTTCATGTCTGATGTGGTGAAATTTATTCATATTCTGTTTGACTGTAATTTTTCATATTTTCAACTTCTATCCAGCTAAGTCAATTTTAATTAAATTTTGTGCAAAGCATACCCCAGGAAGGGGGGATGGAGTGTCAAGTGTGTCTCTGTCCCTGTCAATATAATTTCAAAGCAGTTAGTAAGGTTTGGGTCAATTTTAAATCCTCTTTAGCAGAACCATTGGGCTAGAGATGTTTTTGAAGATTATGGACCCCTAATGTACTGATAGTGTTACATTAGAAGTCTAAAATTTGCAAGGAATAGGTGTAAAATCTTTTTAAAATCTCCTTCTTAACAATCAGAAACTAACAAACTGTCTAATTAATATGCAACATCGTTTTGTGTGTTGAATGATGATTATATTTTGATAAAATTATGGCAGATTGGGGGTAGGATGAAAATGCAGTTAGACATAGAAGAAACAAAAAAGTGTTGATAGAATTTAGTTTTTCTTCCATTTTATTTATCAATACATATTTCTGAATAAGAAATATACTTCTACTTCTTGGTTGTGTTTCATCAACATAAAGGGTGATCTTACTGTAGTCAAGAAAAACATGTTTTATACGGCAAAGAAATGCCTTTATCTAATTGCAGAATGAATAAAAAGGACAGAGGCAGATTTGAAGGAGATTCATGAAATGAGGAATATTTCAAAGATTGCCTGAGCATAACCACTGCTACTGGATAAACATATGGCAATATAAAAGAGCAGGGTCAATGGAGGTATCATACAGTATAGACCATGAGAGACCTTGAAGAAGAAAGTATGGAAGAGAAACAAAAATAAAACCATTTTGATATTTATTGAAATATAGGATCAAAGCCTTACATGTAAAATTTGGGCATGTAATGACTTTTCTCTTGCTCTAAGACTTATAACAGTGATGATTTGATTTAATATCTTTATCCCGATTTGTCGAAAAGATTTGGACATAGTCCATCGATTATTTTAAAGTTTTGATACAACGAATTCATTCATTGTACTTGTAACTGAGTTTTCTGGTGCGACACTGTTTAATCGGCTTCAGAACTAAGTTTGTGATTTCCAAACCAGATTAATGAGATACATGTAATATCTTTTAACATCGGTGATGATTACATCCATTCTTTTACATCTCAGAAGTATTTTTATTATTACAGGGAAAATATGCATTGTACATGTATCTGTAATAAACAGGATTATAGAAATTTTCCATATAATACAACACAATCTTAGCAACTGAAGGCAAATATTTCATCAAGGGTGTGATCTATTTATCAATATGGTTTTCAGCATCTTGCTCTACCTGTAATGACTTGCTCCAAGTTCGAATATTTGAATTTAAATTTTGCAAACATGGTTATAAAATTCTTTAAAAGCCAAATAGTTTAGGCACAAAATGCTTATATATTTCCTACCATTTGAAAAGTGTACACTGAATGAGATGTGGAATGTTAGAATTAAAGTATTAAATATGTTTTGGACTTATGTATGCTTATGCAGATAAATTTGAATTCAACTAGGGAAGGTAAATGTCATACGTATTGGGTTTGCAATCTAATGCAAGAGTATAAATATCCAAGACAAATTTGACAATTTTAATGAAGGGTATAAGTAACCCAAGAAGAATTGGACAAGTAAACATTACCTGTTGGGTTTTATTCTAATGTTGGGATGTAATAACCAAGAGGAGTTGAACCAATGTCCAATACCTATTGGGTTTTCTTTCTTATGAAAAAATTTTTGAGTAACCCAAGAAGAATGTCCAATACCTTTTAATTTATGTACTATTGAAGGGATGAAGATATCCAAGAAGAATTGGACAGGTGTCCATTACATGTTGGGTAGTGTTCTTATGAGGAAATTCTCAAGAAACCCAAGAATTAGACAAGTGTCCATTGCCTGTTGGGTGGGATGTAGATATCCAAGAGGAGTTGGACAGATGTCCATTACCTGTTGGGTGGTATTCTGATGAAACAATTCAAGAAACCCAAGAAGAATTGGACAAGTGTCCATTACTTTTTGGGTGAGATGTAGATATCCAAGAGGAGTTGGACAGGTGTCCATTACCTGTTGGGTTGTATTTTGATGATGCGAATTCAAGAAACCCAAGAATTAGACAAGTGTCCATTGCTTGTTGGGTGGGATGTAGATATCCAAGAGGAGTTGGACAGATGTCCATTACCTGTTGGGTGGTATTCTGATGAAACAATTCAAGAAACCCAAGAAGAATTGGACAAGTGTCCATTACCTGTTGGGTGAGATGTAGATATCCAAGAGGAGTTGGACAGGTGTCCATTACCTGTTGGGTTGTATTTCGATGATGCAATTCAAGAAACCCAAGAATTGAACAAGTGTCCATTGCCTGTTGGGTGGGATGTAGATATCCAAGAGGAGTTGGACAGATGTCATTACCTGTTGGGTTGTATTTTGATGAGGAGATTTAAAAAACCCAAAAAGAATTGGACAAGTATCCATTTCCTGTTAGGTGGGATGTAGATATCCAAGAGGAGTTGGACGGATGTCCATTACCTGTTGGGTGTTATTCAGATGAAACAATTCAAGAAACCCAAGAAGAATTGGACAAGTGTCCATTGCTTGTTGGGTGGTATGTAGATATCCAAGAGGAGTTGGACAGGTGTCCATTACCTGTTGGGTTGTATTTTGATGATGCAATTCAAGAAACCCAAGAATTAGACAAGTGTCCATTGCCTGTTGGGTGGGATGTAGATATCCAAGAGGAGTTGGACAGATGTCATTACCTGTTGGGTGGTATTCTGATGAAACAATTCATGAAACCTAAGAAGAATTGGACAAGTGTCCATTACCTGTTGGGTGGGATGTAGATATCCAAGAGGAGTTTGACAGGTGTCCATTATCTGTTGGGTTGTATTTTGATGAGGAGATTCAAGAAACCCAAATAGAATTGGACAATGTACACATGTTCAATTGTTCTTGGGTAGTTTAATCCTTTCGTCAAAATACAACCCAACAGGTATTGGACACCTGTCCAATGCCTGTTGGATACCTTCATTCTGCCCAACATGTAATGGACATTTGCTTATTATTAATTGGTCATGACTCAAAAAGGTTTTCCTTAAATACTTATTTTTGTTATTCAAGAAAGGTTGAACAGAGTCTGAGATGTGTTGAGTTGTGTTTGCACAATTCAGTTTTTTTTTTTTTTGCACTTAGGTATTCATATATTTTAATATTAGATATTTTGAAATATACAGGTGTATATCCTTATTGCTAAGAACAAATTAGTTAGGTGTTACAATAAAAGAGCTATATCACAGAAATTGACAAAAATATGGGTTCAAAACCAAAGGTTTTCAGTCTTGTCTGAATTTACCAGCAAATATTAAATATATAATAAATTTGGAATGAAAAAAAAAACAATATAAAAAACCCAATAAAATACGGACACGAGGATTAATATCCAATAAGATTTGAACAGTAACTACCCAAATAATGCTCTCTCGTGTGTACACTTTTTTTGTATCCAATAAGCAGTATCCAATAGGACTTGGACTTGATGTACCCAATATATAACCAAATGTGTGTCCGTCCGTCTGTCCGTCCGTCTGTTACGCTTTGGGGTACCCATCTCTTATCCGTAACTCCTCTCATACCACTGAATGAAACTTGATGAAACTTTCACAGAATCTTTATTACATATTGCCATTGTGCACCTCCTATTTTACTTTTTGATCCGACACATATTTTGGGTTTCCCGGCCACAGGAATACATGGACTTTTTCACCACTTATAACCATAGGGGAGGCGGGGGGTATCATTTAGTGAGCTCATCGCTCACAGTACCTCTAGTTTTATATTGTATTTTAAATTATTTTCCCTTCACATTTTTTCGCTGCGATTGTCTCTTCTAAAATCTATTTTTTTTCATTCCTTGTTCCAAGAGCTGAATTTTAATGCTTTCAATATAATCTTCTCTAAAACCTCCATTTATTATTTGTCATTCCTTGTTCTAGGAGCTGTGTAAGGTTCCGAGACTGGTGGTGGACGGAGTGAGCTGTGACGACCTCAACCAAGGGGAACTCGGAAACACGTGGTTTGTCACTGCGTGCGCAAGTTTGGCGCTTGAGAAGAAACTGTTTGAAAAGGTATGGAATGATCATTATTTCTAATAAGTTTGCTACCTTTATCATTTCAACATATAACATGTATCAACCGTATGCTAAGATCAATTAATTAATCGAGACCAATATATTAGTCTGAGAATATTTCACTACTGTGGCTAAGAAAGGCCCGAGCAAAAGAGCACACTGCAATAATAAGCATCCCATTTCTTTTAAATAATGAAAAAAAAAAATGTTTGACCCCCCCCCCTGGACTTGTGCGTTTTACTTGTTCATGCGCGCTGATAAATTTTGACTCTCTCACTACTAGGTAATTCCCAGCATAAAAGAACAGGAATGGGACGAAAAATCCGAGAAAAACAAATACAGCGGAGCCTTTCATTTTCACTTTTGGCGGTTTGGAGAATGGGTGGATATTGTTATAGACGATCGTCTGCCAACCAAGAACGGGAAACTGGTCTTCTGTCACTCCAAATCACGGAACGAGTTCTGGAGCGCTCTACTGGAGAAAGCCTACGCCAAGTAAGTATGGTGGCCAGGAATTAAAGTGACGCAACTTCCGTTCAAAGTCGGTCAATTTTGTCAATTATACTTATGTTTATCTTTTCAAGTCATAAGATTTGGTAAATTTCTTTGATAAATTACAATGTACATGTGAAGAATCTAACTGAAAGCCATACAGGTTTTAGTATTTTTGAAATCGAACGGGTAAAAATATGAAACCATGGATGCATATTTAGTTTCGTAATGTGTATATGTGTACAGGTATTTGTATTTTAAAGGAAAGGGAGTTGACCATCATTGTTTAGATTTGAAATATGTATGTATTATAATGCTATATAAAATGCAATATAGAGCAGTCCCATGTTTTGAATGTATGTCGTATTATAGATGATCTTCTTTTCCTTCTATAGGTTGTACGGTGACTATGAATCTTTGAACGACGGACGGACGGCGGACGCTCTGGTAGATTTCACGGGGGGCGTGGCGGAGAAACTGGTTCTGACCAGACTGGATCTGAACGACGACAAGATAGTGGAACAGCTGTTTTATAAATTGAGGGAATCCTGTGAAAACTCCGCCCTTATGAATTGCAACATAGAGGTATGTTATTGAAGATGACTGCCTCGAATAAAAAATATTATTGTTGTTTGTAATCTATCTATGATGGGAGTTGAGAGGGACTGAGGAACATGTTACCCTTTTGTTAACCTTGTCTTCTTTATTTTATTTTCATCACATAGCACTGCCCAATGTCAAAAAAATTAGGAACCACAACTTGTTAATATGCGATTATTCAATCTCTTTCAACAAAGAACTTATTTTGTTAAGAATTTATGCATTTTTTCCACTATTTTTAAATACTGTACCCATGTTTTCTTATTTATTGGAAATGTTTCATTTTTGAAGGATGGCATGATTGTTACCTCTTTAAGGGGACTGACCATAGTCATTCCCATCCCAACATGAAAATACTTATAATTTTGCCTTTGTCCTCTGATAATGAGGCTGATTTAATCGTTCATATAATTATATAAACATGTACTTGATAACCCAGCTTTTGATCATGTGTTTTTGCTGATTCTGACATTTCACGAAGCTAACTTGTACTTCAATAGACGAATTGTTAAGATATGATTAAGCAAAATCAATTGAGGAGATGTTCAGAAGGATCGCAAACCTAAATTATACCAGTAGAATTTTTCGCAAATCTGTATTCATCAAAGCCAAACTGATTCATTTATGTTCTATTATACATGTATAAAAATACTTTAACCTGCTTGAATTGTCAATCTTTTATTCATCAATTTAAAAACGACCTTCTCGTTATTTTGGACTTCAATAATTGGCGCCAGTTTTTTAACTAATTTCAAGGGAAATGTTTATTTTTTTCATTGAACTTTTTTTAATTGGAACTTGTAGTTAAGCTTCTTTGAATAAATAAAAGAAGTTAAACTTTTATATCTACAAGTACAAGTTTCCTGAAACTAACCTTTTCTTGGTTTGAAGAAGCGTACGAATTCTTCCTTCAAAAGAATCTTTAAAGTATTTCTACCCTCCTGTGATGTCACCTGATTTTCGCAGAATCTGTCAATTTAAATTTATACCCGTAAGAAATACCTGTATATTTTTTAGACAAATACCTTTCAACAGGTGAAATGTTAATTTGTCGTTTTGTAAAAGAACTCAAGACATTAAAAATAATTTTTCCTAAATATTCATTCATTATTTCAATCTAACCAAAAAAATAAGGACAGTAATTCCTTCTCATGTACCTTCATTCAGTTTTTTCTTCATGTTGTATTTTAAATGTATAATGTATGTGTTTTTATTTACAAAATTACAATTAAAACATATTTGTAGATGTACAGAAACAGTTCTTTTAGAATTGTCTGCATCAGAATTTTATATTTAAACCAGTTCTAACCTAAATTTAACATTACTGTATACCTAAAATATTTTTTTTTAATTTTGCCATATTCTGTACTTCTGTTTATTTATTCTTAAATCTCAATAAATATGGCAACTAATACATTTTAAGCAATAATTTTTTAATTGAAACTATATTCAGTGAAATTAAATGCATTTTTCCCTTTGAACCCATAAAGTTGTGAGGATGGAAATACCTAAGTAAACTAATGACAACTATCATGTCTGCACCAATTTGCGAAATCATTGATCCTTAAATCCAATTTTTTTCTTAACAACAATTTGACTCAAGCAAAACAAAAAAATCTAAAATAATAAGATTGTATAATTTTCAGTGCCAAAAGACGGAAGTGGGTAAAGAACTTCCCAATGGTTTGATTCTTGGTCACGGTTATAACATAACAAAAGTGCTAGACATAAAGGTGGAAAAGAAGCTACAAGGGGCCGTGGGTAACGCCAAACTGATGATGGTCCGCCTTGCAAACCCGTGGGGGGTGAAGGAATGGAACGGTCCCTGGTCGGACGAGTGAGTACTAATTTATCGATTTTTTGTTTGATTGTTGTTTTTTGTTTTGTTTGAGAATTTTATACTCATATTAAAGACGTCTCCATGTACTGTACGAAGGTGGGCGGTCGCTTTGAAATACGGAATGAGATTTAGTTGTTGCATTTCATGGAAAAAATTGTAATGGCTACATTTTGAATTTTTTTTTTTTTTTTTTTTTGATTAAGTTGAAATTTACATTGTCATTTTAATTATAATGTAGAGAAGAGGTGAACGAAAACTGAAAGGGTGGGGTGAATATTTACTGCATCGATCGTTTTTATGCATTTGCAGTATGGTAGTCTATGTAGCAATTTAAAATGAAACCATAAGTTTGAAGTCATATTGAAGATTGAAAATAAGTTGATGCATTATTTTTATTTTTTTTTTCGGTATAGTTCCCCCGAATGGTCGAAAATCAACAAATCCGAATGGGAGAAGATGGGTCTAAAATTCGTACAAGAGGGCGAATTCTGGTATGTATCAAAAACATACGATAAATCTAACTAAAAATCTGTTTAAATTCATTAATTCTTCAAAAAAACACGGGATGGGATTCAGTCAACTAAGTGTTCATAGAAAGGTCTTGAAAGTTGACTGAACGACCAAATTTTCTCCTTCAGTTACCTTTCAGTAGAAATTCAGTCACCTTACAGTAAAACTTCAGTCTGCTTTCAGTCAGTTTCATCCCTTGAAATCTCTCCTTTTTATTATTTACAGGATGTCCTTTCCTGATTTTATGAACACTTTCACACACATAGACATCTGTCACTTCGTCAACACCAGTATTATCAGTATAAAAAAGACCTGGAGTGAGGCCATGTTTCACGGGGAGTGGACCGTCTCAGGCAGAAATGGCGGGAATGACTATAACTCAGCTACCTTTCTCAGCAATCCCCAGGTACTGAAGGAAGAAGGGGGTGAATTTGTTCTACTTGTACAGTGTTTCCACAGTATAGAGCGCTTATAACGAATACACTTATAATGCACTGACGATTATAGCGAAGTGTTTTAAATCCCCGTGTGTTATAAACGTATTATAAGGTAACTGTAAATCGAATTGCATTTTGTACGTAGTAAAATCGGCCGTCCCTGTTTTTTAGTTCTAAGCTTCTTTATTGTATTTTATTTAAATATAAGAAAAGATGTAATATTTGTATACAGAAAGAGTTTTTTTTAATTTATGAGAAAAGTGTAATGACCAAAACTAACATGTTAGAGCATATAAATTTAATTTTAAGAATGCTATATAAAAAAAATTTTAATGATGTATTTACTGGGACAATATTTTTCTTCTAGAATTTTGACTGCATATAACCTTTAACAGAGATTGTACTACGAAAACTTGATTTTAATCAGAGCTGACTATTGTTTTATACTCTACAATTACTACTGCACGAAATTTCCTTCTTTATTTCTCTTGATTTAGTGAATTTTTCACGACTGCCCTGGCCATTAAACAAATAATAGAAAAGTAAACCGAATGAATTCAAATGAGACATTTTTTATTATATCTTGTAGTATGTCTTTGATATTGGAGGTGCCCAAGATCGCGTTATGGTGTCTCTGGAACAGCACGATATAAAACCAGGTCGGCAGGAACTGGGTATTCAGCTCAATAATATAGGATTCCACATCATGAAGGTAAAGGATACTGACAGACAGAAAGATACTGAAAAAAGAAATAGACACAAAAAAATTACATCATGATGGTATGAAACAAAAAATATTCTGATGTAAGAAACATTCTAGGAATACTTCGGGTTTTCAGATCATATACATGTTAGTAAGGGTACAACTGACGAAAAAGAGAGACAGATCAAATATCGACCAGAATAATGCCAATGTAGAACAGTTTTATCATTAGCTTTTATAAATACAGTTTTTATCACGTTTTATGAATAAATATTCTGTGTGAAATAAATGTCTTTTAAAAGTTTCTTCTGATTAGCAATAATGACTATATCAATGACTCAGATCCGAAGACTATCGACTATAGACTCAAGACAAAATGTTCACGTTTTAATATGATGAGTTTTATTTAATGTATTTATTTAGACATTTTATTATTTCCTTTAACATTTCAAATCAGACATACATGTACGTAGAAAATTTTGTTTCATTATCAAAAAAAAAAAAAATTCAAACGTTACACTTGTTCGAATCTTTAAGTCTTCTAAATAAATGCTTGGATCCAGATCAATGAAATGTTTATCAATATGATATGGCTATTAAAATAAGTCTGTTCTAAGATAATGAAATGTTTATCTCATTGTAATACATCTTTGTTAATTTCAGGTGGAAGAGAATAGAAAATTCAGGGTACACATAGTAGGAGAGAAAGTGTTTACTTCCGAGTATGCTAAATCTAGAAGCGTTTTTGGGATCATGATTTTACAGAAAGGTCGATATGTAATAGTTCCTACCACAACTAGTTCGGATGAACTCGGGCCATTCATGTTACGACTTTACACCGGAAGTTCTTCTGGGGCAAAGTGAGTTGTTAATTTATTAAACAGTCGTAAAAGATAAGAAAAATTATTTTTTGAAACCAAACAAGTATTTGAATGTGGTTGTCATAAGTATAATGTAGAAAAATCTTTGATGAGAAATATTGATAGAAGATTTTTTTTAATGTCATCGTTGAGATACTTTAGTCATATATATTTATCTATGGTAAATCAAAGTGTCAAAGTTATCACTTTTGTAAATCAAAGTTTTCAAAGTGATCACTATAGTGTCATAGTTATCATTATAGAAAACAAAGTTTTTGAAGTTTTCACTATAGAAAATCAAAGTTTTTACCATAGTAAATCAATGTTTTTATCATAGTAAATAAAACTTTTCATAGGAATCACGATGGTTAAACAAAGTTTTCATAGTTATCACTTTAGTAAATCAAAGTGTCAAAGTTATCACTGTATTAAATTAAAGTTTTCATAGTTAATCAGAGATATCATTATAGTAATTCAAAGTTTTCATAGTGCCAAAGTTATCACTATTGTAAGGGTTATAATAACATAATATACAACATTCTCTAAATGTGAATCTCTTTCTTTTAATGCTCACAGTGCCAGGTAGGTTTTCATCCATTCTATCATGCATGTTGTTATAGGAAATTCTCAAGCATTGTTGATTGATCAATACACATAACCTTGCTTTCATTTATTTCCAATTAAAAGGGATTGTATGCAAATAAACCATTCAAATATCAAGCTTAACAGTATCTAAATCAATGCATATTGATGTTGTTAACCTGCTTAACCCTGCCAATTGACAAAATAATGGACAATGCTTTAGAATAATCGGACAAAATTCTGTCCTGAAATCGTCTCGTTGGATGGACTTCATTTCGTCTTTTATCATGGGAACCTTTTACTTTAAAAGGAATGTCATTTTTCCTCTTTGTAAAGGGTTAAGTATAATTATCTTTTGCACTCTTTCCAAACATGATATCTGTACGTGTAGATGGTTAGTTAAAAACAACGAAATCGCACGGTTTCAGAGGATTTACTAATTGTAAA